AGTCTGTGGTCCAGGATAGTCAGCCATCTTAGCAAGCTGGAAAGATGTTCACAGAGTACCAGGACTCACCAGTCTGAAATGTGCTCTCTTAGCCTTGAACTTAGACACCAGTCCTCTCAATCCAACCTTTATTGTTGCTCCCCCATCACACCATCATTACCTGGTGCCCTGCTGCCTCAGCTTTTATGAAATCTATAAATTAGTGGTCTGCAATGACTAAAATTTCATGTTTCTTGTTCAACTCTCTGACCTTTCTGTCATCATTCTTTATGACATTTACTTTTAATCAGCAGAGGGTCTAGATAGAAACACTATGCTCTCAACCACGAATTTCCTATATTGTTGGCATTTGCTTTCCAAATCCTTGTGTGGCATAATCAGCATGTAATGAACTTCCTTATATTAGATTGTCATTCTGAAGGAGGGAGGGCTGAGGAAAGTCCCTGGTATGTGATTTCTCTGTACCTCATTATCCTCGCTCAGCCATAAACCTCTGTCACACTGACATCGTCACCTCTTCCACCCGTACTCAGCCTGGCACAGTTTCACCATCTGTTTGTGTGACACCAACATTATGGCCTCTCTCCATGCATTCCTAAATGGGCATGGGAAGGAAGCAGAGTTGGCAAGCATGCCTGCTCGCACCAATAGCACAAACCTAGACAGTGATGAATCATGACCCAGGACAGGGAGGTTGGCTGACAGCTAGATATGGAGTGCCATCAGTGTGGAGGGACAGACCTCTCAGTTCATGGAGGCAGTGCCAACTGCCCTGTTTCTGTCCCTGCAGCAACAGCATCCACTCTTTTACTATGTAGTCATGAAAGGATGTTCAATAGTAAAGAAGACTAGAAATCAAGACCTGAATTATTCTTCTTTTCCCTTTCAGATCTAAATGGCAGTATATGGAACATCATCCCCAGGAGTAACAGAGTTACTTGGAAATGGCAAGGTTTCTAGTTACTCAGGGTGAAAAGAGCTAAGGCAGGTTGCCTTGTGCTGGTGGGTCAGTCCTATCTATGCACAAGCTGCTGGAGCTCCTACCTACACCCACCCAACATCTCAAACGTTCTCTGTTCTTTATGTCCTGAAAATGACTGATTCATTCATTTCTTTCTGAATGCTGCTTCCAGGATTAAATCAATCAGGCAGCTATTCAAGATTTGTTCTTTAGATTTCAAATTTAGGTATAAGATGTTGGGGTACTTTAGTTTATATTATAGTTGATTGTGATGTGTTTGATTTTAAGACATATCTACAATCTAATTTTCTATTCTGCCTCTTTGTATTGAGTCCTTTATGTATATGTAGGTTTTCTTATACTTCACTTTGAATTTTCTCAACAGGAATTGGGAGCATGAACATACCCAATAAAATAGAATGTTCTTCTTCAATAGAAGAATTTAGATACCATTTTTGGTTTTAATTTTTTTTTTATTTTAAATGCCCTCCATAGATCCTGTCTATTCTACAATCAGGCATCTAAAAACTGATAAAGCCAAAAAATAGAGAAATGTGCCTTTGAAACATGGAAAAAATATACAAAAATCCCAGACAGCCCCACGCAGGGGACAGAGTTAGTTCCACAGGCAGGGCATCCAAAGTTGAAAGAATTTCCAAAGCATTCAATGAGCTGGCTAGGTTCCATCACTAGGTCATTCAGTTGACCAATCATGAACAAAGGAAATAGAAACTTCATGCTTTGACTGTGTAAGCTGGCTGTAGGCAGGGACTCCATTAGAAGGATCAGCTTTTCATCACCTGTCTCCCAGTCTTATAGGAAATAGGCTTATCCAAGATTCTTCCCTGCAGTGGCAGGGAATAAAGGTTGGTGGATTGTGCATGGTACCGATAAGAACTTTGGGCATGGAGAAACACAGAGGAGGGTCTGAAGATCATTAATCTGAAGATTATTGGTGGTCCAAAGTTGTGATGTAAGAACCATTGGATCCACTGGAGAGAAAACACCAGACATTAGAGGAGTATAATACCTGAGGAGCCAGAAGCTTTTCATGTCTACAGGACAGTTAATGGGGTATGCAGCTATGGCCTTTCTAGAGCAAAAGGAAAGGTGGTGATGGATATGGCCAAAAGAAAGACCTTTATATCAGATGGTTGGGAGTTTGTACTTCAGACACACCACATCTGGGAGGTACAAAAGGCTTCTGCAGCCAGAGCGGTCTGCATCCTGATTCCCTATCAGCAAGTTGGGTAACCTCTTCAAAGAATGGTGTGATAAGAATAGGAGGTAGGAATTGGCTAGGCAGTTAGTGTAAAAAGACCCCAAAGAAAAGTAGAAGTTTCTTGGCTAAAAGTCAAAATGTCCTTGGGCCTGTTAGCAACGTACTCTGTTCCAAGGCCAAAAATGTCTAAAGTATTTGGGAGCTCTTATCTAATTCTTGAAAGATTTTAGGGTTACCTCTTCAGATGGGGGAATGTTAGAGTAGCAAAAAGCCCCATTAAAAAAAAAAGAAAGTACCTGACGTTGTTCAGGAAAAAGTGATGGGGAAATATGGGAGGAGTTGGAGGGGAGGGAGTGGGCATGGATTTGATAAAAACATTTTATATGCTTATATGCCTGCATGAAATTCTCAATAAATTATTTTTTAAAGGCTTCTGCATCAAGGAGGAAATACATAATGCAAATGACCCTTAAGGAAAATGCTGCAATATTTAGAATCATAGAGGTAGTCCCCAGAAGAAGTTATGCTGGGTCTAGAGTGGGTTGGAATGAGCAGGTTGTGAGGCAGGATCTATATTGTGAATAGTGGCTAGAAACAGATAATGAGTGGCAAATAGTTCCTGTCTGTACAAGAACCAGCCCATTTTCCCTCCCATCACTCCCTACCCTTTTGTATAGGATGCAGTTTTGATACTGTATCACAGATCCTTTTTGGAGATAATGTTTAAGATTTTTGTAGAGTTTTGTTTGTTGGGAGGTGTTGTTTCTCATCTGGAGATGAGGCATTGTGGGTTATTCTAGTCCTGGCTTTAACACCAGTCAGCTCTGTGACTCTGAATTGGTCATTCTGGGGCTAGAATAAGAAATGATGGAACTGAGCATGTGGCTAGGTTGGTGGAGTGCTTGTCTAGCATGCACAGAGCCCTGGGTTCTTGGGTTCCACACTTAGTACTGTATAAACCAATCAATGGCGGCACATACCTATAATCCCAGTGCTCAAGAAATGGAGGTAGGAGGATCAGGAGTTCCAGGTCATTCTTAACTACATAGTGAGTTCAAGGCCAGTCTGGACTACAGGAGTCTCTGTCTCAAGGTTCAGTCTTCCTAAATCTTGAAAACCTTACGGCTTCCTTCCCTTATACATACTTCCAAACAAGTGCAATTTTAAACCACAGCTGTGTAAAGACATCCTAGCACACTGTTTTGCCAACAGTAAGCGAGATACCTTTAAAGAAATCAACATTTAAGAACATTTTTGTCACGTTAGTAGTGGTGGTTTGAATGAAAATGTCCCCCATAGGCTCCAAGTATTTGGACATTTTGTCCCCAGATGATGGCACTGTTTTGGGAGGTCTTAGAAGGTGTGGCTATCCTGGAGGAAGCATGTCACTGGGGGTGGGCTTAGAGAGTTCTTAAGACTTGTGGGATCTCCAGTTGCTCTCTTGTTTCCTGTGCCTGCTGGAAGATGTAGAGCTTAGCTTCCGCTCCTCCTCCTCTAGCCACCTCTGCTGCCATGCCTCCCCGCCAAGATGGACTGCGATTGTAATTTCCCTGGAACCGTAAACTCAAATAAACTCTTCCGTCTATAAATTGCTTTGGTCAGTGTTTCTATCACAGCAACAGAAAAGTGACTAATACATTAGTTTTCCCATTTTTGTTACTGCACTATCTAAGCATCTAAGCAGGTGTTTAGTTACGTGCAGATAACCCAGCCATGCTCAAGTCCACTTCCCAGACCTCAGCTTTCTTGTCTGTGAAAGAAAGCATTTGACTGGGAGAATTCCGCATTTTCTCTGACTCCAGGTTCCACAGTTTCATAACCTCAAGGTCCTGTTTTCTCGCTAACTTTATCTCTGTCTTATCTTGACATTGATGTTTTCTGAATATAAATGTGAAAATAATGTTTTACTTCCATATCTCCTCGATTCCTCACGCCTATTAAAACACTACAAACCAGTGAGCAATCTGTGATTTATGAGCCAAAATGAAAGGGCAATTTCTCTCTGTCTAAATCTTATGAAGGGCGTATGTCTATAGAAAGATAAGATCAGCAGTAAAGTCCCTTGGTTTTCTGGTAGAAAGCTTTTTGGAAAAAGCTAAAAGTCATGACTGAGGTAGAATATCTGCCGATAACAGAGTGTGTGGTTCTTAAAAATCTTACTAACCCTGCTAAGCTTTAGTTTTCTTTTTTCTTTCTTTTTCTTTCTTTCTTTCCTTCTTTCTTTTCTCTTTCTTTCTTTCTTTCTTTCTTTCTTTCTTTCTTTCTTTCTTTCTTTCTTTCTTTCTTTCTTTCTCTTTCTTTCCTTCCTTCCTTCCCTCTCTCTCCCTTCCTCCCTTTCTTTTCTTTTTTCTTTCACTCACTCTGTCATTTGTTACTGAGTCACCTACCTCTAACATTTTGTAAGGTAAGTCTACCATTAATGTTTTATAAAATTTCTGAAAGTAGATATCACATCACCATCTTTCCAACTCAATGCCATTGCCCTTTGAAATTTCACCTGTCCTGAATGGAATTTACCTTGGTTTCCATGGGCACTCTGGGAGCACAGCAGCAGAAACTGGGCCTCTCTACAAGCCTGGCTGTGGCCTCCTTTCAGATGAGATCTGCACAGTATTTTCTAGACGGTTTCTACAACAGATGTTACCAGGCAGACAAGCAAGCACACAGTCCCAGAACCCAGAGCATGCAGAGCCAGGCGGACACACACTTGCCAACACTGACACTGAGCTGCGGGGTGATGGGGGAGTGTCTCTGAGGGGTGAGCCGGCTGCTCCAAAGCCCTGCTAATGTCTCTGTGTGGCCATGCTGTATTTTCAGCTTGTCATCATGGCTGGGACAGTGCTGCTTGCCTACTACTTCGAATGCACGGACACTTTTCAGGTGCATATCCAAGGATTCTTCTGTCAGGATGGAGACTTAATGAAGCCTTACCCAGGGTCAGAGGAAGAAAGCTTCATCAGTCCTCTGGTGCTCTACTGCGTGCTGGCTGCCACTCCAACTGCTATTGTAAGTACAGAGATGAGTTCCATCTTTTTTGTCAGACACCTAACAGTACTTCTGGGTGCCCTTCCTCCTGCTCCTGTCTTCCTGGGCTTTTGTTAGGAAGTAGCCTTATCAGTGGTTTCCTGTTTCAGCTAAGACATGCTCAGTGGAAGTCTGCACAAAAACTCATTCAAATGGGTCTTGCCTTACATAGATGGTTTTTGCTTTTTAGTATCTGAATTTTTGAAACCGTATTTTTAAAAACATGCATGAATGTCAAAAATTGACAGACATGATTAGCTAGCATGCTAAGAATGGCAAATATATTCTTTCAAAAAAAAATAGGCTGAGTTGTGTGTGTTCAGAAAGGAGCCTGGCTGTAAGTGCCAACAGAGACTCAGATCACAGTGGAATAAACCCCCACCCCCCAACACACACCTCTGGTACCTCTGGCTGTTCTGCACTGCAGAGGCCAGAGATGAGCAAAATCACAAACCCCAAAGTTTGACAACTCTGCCCCGTCCTTGTTACATACCATATAACTCAATTTTCTCTTGAGAAAATCCTGTAGAGGAAATTTCTTCCAGAGCATAAATGTTGCAGATCTTTGTTAGCTGGTCAAATGTTTAACACTTAGATACTATTATTTATAGCCACCTCTCCCCACTCTGCCGTCTTACCTTTAACTTATCCTCTGTGCTTTTTTAGTTGGGGACAAGAAGAAAAACACAGATGGGCTGAATAATATACTGAATAATATAATAATTGCTCAGATATTAAGTTCAAATGCCATTGTCAATGACAAGGTTTCTCTTGCTTTATTATAAAAAGAGAATGTAAATTTGAGAATCTAGAAATAGTAAGTCATCATACATTAGGCTTATTCAGATTATTGAGACCAGCTTTAGCCGAGCGCCACCTTAAATAATAAGACTCCTATACAGACTGAGTATTGTCCCACTATATGTGATGTATCAGCGTGGTTAAAAGCACGAGGTCTACAGAGTGGCACACTTGGGTTCACATCCAGCTGGGTGACTTTGGGTAAGTCACTTCATTGATCCCTTCTATACAAGATTAGGATAATCGACTGCCTATTCTACAAGTTGTCATCAGGTTTAGAAATGACTTCATGGATTTCCTGGCATGGACTTAGGGGTTAGGGGTGAAGAACCTGGCAAGAAACCATCCTTCACCCTCTTTGGCATCACAAGACAAACTTCCTCCATGTGAGGATTATGACATTCTGTTGAGAATTTCTATGTGACCTCTTCTGCCCTGTTCTAGAGTGATAGGAACTGGACTCTACCTGGAAGGAGGCTAAATGCTACATCTCATTTCCTTTATCCTTGCTTACCAGCCTGGGGAAGAAGAGAAAACATGGCTAGAAACCACCCTTTGTCAACACAAATGCATAACTCTCACCTCAAAGAGGATAAGAGATAGTTTATTCTAGAGACAAATATAAATGACTATGGCCTGGGAGCACAGATTCAGGGTACCCCAAATCCCATGTTCTAGCATGGTAAGAGTTATATTATGTTTTAATGGTAACAGAAGAAAGAAAAGTCATAAATCAAGACACTTTTCAAATACATTGGTGGTTATATTCAGTCGGCAGGTCATGGCAAAGCTGCGGGGAGGTGGTTTCTACTATAGGTCTCAGATGCTAGCTGATGACATTCATAGCTTTTTGTTTAGTGGCACCTGGTGGTCTGCTAAGATAATACATTCCTAAAGGCTTTTATCTGTTAGTTATGGATGTTAGGTCAGAAACAGAGATGGGCAAAACAAAAGACTATTTAGGGGCTAAAGGCAGCCCGAGGTAACATTCCAGACTCTCCAGTTGGTCAGCCTTTCAGGAAATTCAGTCTGAGATGCAGGAGTTCTTTCTGGGAACTTTAACACCTTCAATGTGCCTCAGAGGCAGAAGATTCACTTGCAGCTAACAAGGAAACAGGTTGGGCCCTGTCTGGAATGGTCTCATGGTGCCTCTAACTGGAGACAGAGACTTGGTCCGGAACTGGATTATGGTCCTGTCTCGTAAGTTTTAGGAAATAGTAACATTGCCTAGATTTTCTCATAATTATTTTGTGTTTATAGATTTTTTTCCTGTTAAAACCTAAGAAGGACAATGGAAACATATTAATAAAGATTATGAGGCTGGAGAAACAGTTCAGTGGTTAAGAGCAGTGGCTGTTCTTCCCAAGGCCCCAGGTTCAGTTTCTAGCACCCACATGGCATCTAACAATGATCATTCATGTGGTGTGCTTAAATGCATACAGGCAAAACACTCATCACATAAATAAATCAAAAAACTTTTAAAAGGGATTGTGAGCAGAAAATTAGAATCAGAAAACAATATAATTGTGAAATAAAATCAAGAACAGATTCTTTATACTGTAAAATGTGCATGAGAGCTGAAGGCAAATGGTAAGACATTATATGGAGTGAGGATGGGGACCAGGTAAGGCGAGCAAGGGAGGACCAGTGTATGATACCTTAAAAACTGATAAACCGTTTTTATAATTACCTATATCCTGTAGGTGTTGCCTAAATGATCCTCTCAACAGTCCAGTTAAATGGGACAGAAATATTCCAAAGAATACAGGAAAAGAATGTAGTCCAGCCCCCTACATCTTTAAGTTGAGAACACCTAGGCACAGCTTGACTAAATGATGCCCAAAACGGTCTAGTTAGTTCTGTACACAACTGGATTATCTGCCCAGTGTCATTTCTGTCTCCTCTTCAAATGAAGGGTGTGACTTGGAAGGACACTTGATAGCAGGTAATGATTTAATGGCAGGGAGCCATTGTCCCTCAGCCTTGGGAATCCCTCAGAACCTAGAAATCAGTGATCAGCAGCAGGACAGAACTCCTCTGTGCTCTGGGAAGGAGCTGTGCCCACTTTTGCTCCATCTCTGTGAGATCGGCTTGTCCAAGAGCAGCCTGTGGGGGCCAAAGGGTCTCAGATTCCCGTGCCTCCCTCGGCACACGTCCTCCCTGGGCACACGTCCTCCCTCAGCACACGTCCTCCCTGGGCACATGTCCTCCCTCGGCACACATCCCCCCTCAGCACCCTTTGCTTCCTCACCATGTGCTCATCTTCCTCAGGCTGGGAATCATTAAATCTACCCTAGGAACTGTATGACTTCCGGTTACTTGTATTCTTTTAGTGGGTTATTTCTTCATCTTTATACTTTAAAAAGGGATTAGGCTAAATTATTTCCAAGATCCTTCTTGTTCTCAGATTCTACAAGAACAGAAAAGGCAACATTTTAATTGAAAGTCTCCATATATTAGATTTCCAGCAAGGCACAGCTTCCTTTTCCGGATTTGGCTTTGTATTTCTGTGCCTTCAGGTGTTTCACAGAACTGTAGAGCTTTTCTGTTTCTCCTTAAAACCATTTGCTAGTCTCTTTGGAGTATAGTGAAGGCAAGACCCCCTTTTGGGTGATTTGTGTGATACCAACTAGCAGCAAGTTTTAAAACTGTAGCTCAGCCTGGACTTGTCGTTGGCTCTCAGTGAATCTCCAAGTACAGTGGCAGTGACAGAACGAGTGCCCCACATGGCCGTGTCTCTCCAGACGGACGTTAACATCCCCGTTCACAGCTGTGGGGATGCACAGGAGAGGCAGGAAGGGAAAGACTCTGCTACCTGACCTGTCATTTCCTATTTTCCTTTTGTGCTTTCCTGTCAGAAAATATCAGCCTCATACTGAGACAAGGCCACTTGGGATCAGCTGCACAGGGCCAAGGCCACTGCTGTCCCAGATCTTTAGGAAAAAGCATGGAGGATTTATTGTTTCCAGAACTGTCTAGGCCACAGTGGTGACCCATACTTCAAAGAAACCTGCAGGGTATGTTCTGACCACCTGTAAAGCTTGGATAACTAACTACTGCCTTGGGCCTTCTGAATAAACTCAATAGGCTCAGAGGTGAAGGAAGAGAGCCTGTTTGTATAAGAGGATTTACTCTGCAGAGAATCTGATTTACCCTTATTTTACCACAGTCCCAGTGGCACAAGGTATGAGAAAATAGTTATAAAACCTTTTTCTTGGCCTGGCAATGAAGTGACAGGGGAGTGTTTAACATTGATGCAGCGGAGCATTTGATTCCCTGCCCAAGAGAATTGAAATCACTCACAGCTTGCATACAAGTGCACGCATGGGCGCACACACACACACACACACACACACACATGCACACACAGGATTCATCAGCAATTTCCTAGGAAAGGAAGAAACAAACACAATTTGATAGAAAGACATGATTTGGAGGAACTTGTGAATCTTCTTTTGTGTGTTTCTAGTCTGTAAGCTCTTCACATCAAAAGGAAAAGCAAACTGCAGATCAGTGTGGATTCTCAGTAGCGCCCTTCTGTTGGCTGGCTGACTGGATACAGCTGCCTAAGCAAAGGGGACATTGTAGGGCTTGCACTCCCTCAGAATTTGCCTCCTCCAGGCTCTGAACAAGCTCCTCTGTTGGAACTCTTGAATGTTTTCTAATTCACATCCTTTTCCCTTTCATACATTATCACATGACTTCTTTCAATTAAAAAAATCTTTTTACCATTGTCGTTAATGTACTTGGTCTTCATAATTTACGTTTTCTTGTGGGATAGACATATAAATATTCTCATAAATTTTGTGAAAAAAAAATCTTAAAGTTTTCTCTACATTTTCCAGATTAGTTAACCAAATTTCTTTAGAGATTTTTTTTCCTAACACTGTTTCCAGCCATCCCCAGTTTGAACGTATCCCTTGCAATAACTGATGACTGAGAAACTGTGTAAAGAAGACTGTTCAAGGACCAGCAAGACGGCTTAGTGGTTAAAAACATTGGCTGTTCTTGCAGAGGACCTGGGCTCAATTCACAGCACCCACATGGTGGTTAATAACTGTCTAGAACTCCAGTTCCAGGAGATCTGATGCCCTATTATGACCTCCACAGGCATTGCAAGACATGGATGCACTTACACACATACAGGCAATATACTCATACTGTAAAATAAAAGAAATATT